TTTTTAAACTTTTCAATTATAATATACTAAAATATTGCATTGTGTTATGTAATACAAAGTGGTCAGGTTTATAATTTGAAGTATTTTTAATATTGTTTTCATTTCTTTGCACTTAATGCCCTTTATGTTTTAAAGAATCTTAACGTTAAAGTTGATATAAAATTCAATTTATTGAAATGGAAATGTGTGTAATAAATGACACTTTTAAAAAAAGTTTCCCTTTACATTTTAATAACGGTCAAGATTTATATTTAGAACAATCTGACAATGAATTTGATATAACTTCAGAGTTATTTGATGAACTTCCTAAATTACAATTATTTGAATTTAACGAAGAAAATTATATTAAAGCACAAATGGCACTTGAACAAGAATTTGTGGATCAATTAAGCGATGAAAATGAGGAAGACTTTGATGCAGATAAAGTAGATTCTAAAAACCAAGAAGTTTCTTTACTTTCAATACCTGTTGAAGAAGCAAATGAACCTGTATATAGACTTAATCCAACTGTGAATGCAAATTTTTCACCATGTGTTCTAATCGACTATTTAGATAATAAATTGCAAACATGTGATCAAACTGTGAATGTTAGAAATATATGCCAGTTAGTTGGAACCTGGCAAATTGATGAAAATGCGGTATTAGAATTTCAATCAAAAGGAATACCATTGGGGGTGTGTATGAATCATTTTAATTATGATCAAAAATCATAATGCATATATAAAACAATTACGAAGTCCTAAACAAAGTGAAATTTGCCGCCAACGTTACTTATTATGTTTTAAGAATTTTTATTTCTTTAGCTATGAAACTGGGTGTAAAGATCATCTGTGAAGGATATGGGAGAAATATATTCAAATTCCGTGTATTAGTCTTTATTCATATAATGCAGTACATGAATGCCAGGATATTTCTAAACGAATTTTTAATGATGTTTTAATAGTTCGATATATTTGTTATAATTGTTATGAATCTCATAGTGGGCATTTGAATCATCGACCTGGTACTAGCAAGTGAAAATCCACTTGTGAACAACGTGGATTACATAAAGATGATATATCCGAAAGTTTGAAATTGTTGGGTTAATGGCTTACATATGTAGCTAATACTGAAACAGAAGAAAAAAAGAAAATAATTCTTGCTTCTATGTTAGCTTCAGCTTTAAATTTTTTATTTACTTTACCTAAAATCCCTTTAAAATATGAATATTATGATCCTAAAAATAATACATGTTATTCAAACCTTAATGAATTTATTAATACAAATACTACAAATTTTAATGATTCAACTATCCCTATTTTATCTAATTTACCTAGTTATTTTTTTTGAAATTATTATTAAACATAAATCATATAATTGATATTGTACATCCAAAATTAGAATAGACAAATGATAAATATAAAGAAGTTGGAGAAATGTTAGGAAATGAAGTATGAAATTCACGTAAAATAGTTATAGAAAGAAAATCAGAAATACAATTACCTGTTTCTCTCAATGCATAATATGCAAGTTTTCTAAAATTTTTAACGGGATTTTTCGATGGATTAATTGGTAAAATTTTTAAAAATAAATTAATGGTTTTAAATAACGAAAACAATGAGACAAATCTTTAAAACAACTGGATAATGAACATATTACCAAATGTGTGACATTTATTATTTCTCTTATTGTAAGCATGGCATTTCCTTATCTTGGCGTTTGGTTTACTCAAGTAATGGCCAGTATATCTCGTAAATCACGACATTTTTTGTCATTCTGATAACTTCTATCCACTTTACATATAAGCGGTCATACTGATGATCATGAAATCCAAATAGAAAAACATCAAATGTCCAAAGTTAATCCAACTGAAAGATTATTAAATAGGTCAAATGTATGGAATTTAGCTATTATAGACAATATAGATTTTAAAGAGAAAACTTTTACTTACAGAAATATATTTGATACAACCTGTGAAAGTTCTCAGATGCAAATGTCAATTTCTTTAGAAGAAAAAGCAGATAATGAGAAAAAAATTCCTTCACCATTGGGTCTTTTTGGTATAAATGATTTAATGAAAAACACATGGGATATGTTTGATAAAGTTGTTGATGATCTTTTGAATTTTCAAACAAATTTTGAAGGATAAATTATTTACGATACAAATTTTGATATGGTAACTATTCACCAAAACATTCTTGAAAACGTTGACTATGATTGTTTAGCCAGTGTACCTAATATAGTTATATTAGAACCAGGTGGAATTCCAAATTCAGATGAAGGAATATTTCAATCTACAGAAATGTATAAACAAGACTTTGAATTAAAATCACATGATTACTTGAATGTGGTAGCTGATGAAGCAATCTTTAGAAGACTTATTAAACAAAGAGAACAATGGCCAAACTTACGTTCTATTCTTGGCCAATAGCATACTTCGAAGGATATGTGTGGAGTTCTAATTGTATTGTTTTCAAGTTATAGACTTTTTAATCTAGCAAAAACATTAGGAGTTAAATTTTTGGACAAGTTAGATAAAATTGTTGATTATCGTTCTACAGTTCGTATTTTAGAACTAATATAGTGTGCAGTAACTATTGCTATTCGTATTCATATAAAAAGAACAAATCTCAGTAAAGATAATATTGTGGATTCAGACAGTAATGCTAATACCATTTTACAAATATGGTATTTTTATTACAAATGGGCATCAATCTTCAAAGCACATTGTGTTGAAATTCGTGTTGGAAATTACAAATTACAGAAAAATGCCTTGTCTTATTTTGCGGGTTTATTTGCATCAGCAGGAAAATCAAATTATTCAGTATCAGTTGCACAATACCTTAGAATATTAGTTCATTATCCAAAACTTGAGGAGAAATTGGAATGTGCTTCATCAATTAAAATTGATAATGAAGAAAAATGGAAAGGTCATTATTTTGCATTTGATAAGGCGCTTGAAACATTTGGAGTTAAATTTATAAAACAGAATATTACCATAAATGTAATTGATAACAATAATTTAAAGTTATAAGTCAAATCCGCCCAGAGTGAAAGAGATCGTATAGGAATCTTATTGTCAGAATATCTTAACGATCCTTGTGAATCAACTGAATAAAGAACTATAGATACTCGTAAAACAGTCATGTGGAATCTAGTACATGAACTTTTGTCAGCATTTTGCCATTCAGATGATTATAACCGTTATCAAAATCCTTTATGGAATACTACTTCTCCCGATCAGTTTACAGCTACCAGTGTTACACATCTTGGTAATTGTTTTCTGATGGAACTTTAAGAATAGAAGCAATTTTCCTACAAGATGTTATCTCAGTGCAAAAAAGCAATAAAGTTGGAAGAAGAAAGTTAGGAGTTGTAAGATAGAAACCTAATGACCAAACTTCAAAAAAAAAGAAATCCTTCCAAATCGCTGTTACATCAACATCACATTCAAATATAGAAAATTCTAATCAAGCTATTTCTAACCAACTGCCAATCGATTCAAGAAAATTAGTAAATCAAGATGTACCACCAAGAAAAAAGCAAAAACAACGTTGTGAAACTAAACCTGAAGAAAAAAGGCTCTTAGAACCATTGCTGACTTGTTCTGAATATTCAACTAGTAACCAATTAGATCAAGTTAAAGAAACATTAGGAGATGAATGGGATAAAAATCGAATTTATCAATATATATCTCGTTATAGACGTAATAAAAATAATAATTGTGAATAAAATAATATTTTATTATTGTATTTTGTCAAAGCAAATTTAGTTTTCATACATTTATTCTTATAAATTTCATTATATGAAAAAATAAAAGCTATTTTTTATCAAAAAGTATTGTTGCATATAGTTTGGTAAAGTGATTCTATCAAAAGATTTATTAAAAATAAAGAACGTTTGGTACTTTTTTGTTGGTTTAAAAACTAATAGCAAAAGAATCTGAGATTTTAACGTCAAAAAATAAGCAGAATTTCCAATAGAATAAAATGTTATAAAAGAGCTCAAAAGGCAAAACCTCAACTTCTTTTAGATAGAAAAAATGCTGACGAAAAAAAGTATTAAAAATTGAATGTATTTATATTGCGACTTGAAATAGTTTACATAGAAAGAACTTTTCAGACTTAAAGGTTACACACAATTTTTAATTATGATCGACACTATAAAATAGACATGCATACTGACTGATAATAGATATAATAAAAATATAATAAATGGTATATACGTCCTATTTGGCAGATATAACATATTTGACATATATATCATATTTGACAAGTCTGTCAGTTTCTGCTGGTTTCAATATCTACTTCAGATATCAAAAGCTAAATATATTCTAAGGCTAGTCTTGCTAAATTCAGTAAGCTTTTAATTTTATTTTTTCAATAGATATTTAAATTAAACTCACCATTATTAAACTTCTCTTTCAAACTACAATAAATTCTCCATTCTTGTATAATTTAATCTGTTAGATTTTTAAATTCTTGAATTTCTGAATATAAACTAATATTATAATGATATTATTGAGCACAAATATAATGTGAATTAAAGCATTGAATTACTTTAAATAAAGATAATGCTAAATGATTTTCAATATGTTTTTTTAACTTGTTAAAAGCTAATTAATAAACTTCTTGAAACATTGTAATAAACACTGATAAATCAACTTTTTCTTCTAAAAATTTGGTATACATCTCATTACTAAAAGAAGGTTGAATAATGTTATATTATAATGTAATCTCAAGATATGTCAAGCATTAAGTCACAAAAGAAGTAATAGGTTTATTTCTAATTTTAAAAAATTCAAGATCATCTACAACACTATATGAATAAATATAAATTAGATTTGTATATATTTTTTTTTTAATATAAATAAAGAATAAAAATTAACTTACTACTTTGCATTAAATGAAATAAATATAACTAAAATTTCAAATGTAAAAACATATACTGAATTTTTAAAAATCGTTACTAGAGCTCTGAATAGGTCAGTTTAGATCAGATCAATTAAGTTATCTAAACTGAGAGGATCAGATCAGGTCAAATAAAAATCTGATCTAATTTAAATTTTCATTTAACCTGACCTGATCTGATCGAATTATAAAACATTATTTTTGTATGATAAAAACCATCATTCTTGAACGATAAATCATCATTTTTGAATGATAAAATCATCATTTTTGAATGATAAAATCATCATTCTTAAATGATAAAATCATCATTCTTAAATGATAAAATATCATTCTCAAATGATAAAACTATTGTTCAAGAACAATAAAATCATCATTCAAGAATGATAAAACTATTATTTAAGAATAATAAAATTATCATTCTAATTGAACGATAAATCATCATTCAAGAATAATAAAATATCATTCTCAAATAATAAAATCATCATTCTTGAATGATAAAATATCATTCTCAAATAATAAAATTATCATTCTTGAACGATAAAATATCATTCTCAAATAATAAAACTATTGTTCAAGAATAATAAAATCATCATTTTTGAATGATAAATCATCATTCTTAAATAATAAAACCATCGTTCAAGAATGATAAAATCATTATTCTAATTGAATGATAAAATCATCGTTCAAGAATAATAAAATCATCATTCAAGAATGATAAAATCATCATTTTAATTGAACGATAAAATATCATTCTCAAATGATAAAATATCATTCTTGAATGATAAAATCATCATTTTTAAATAATAAAACTATCGTTCAACAACAATAAAATCATCGTTCAAGAATGATAAATCATTGTTCAAGAATGATAAAATTATCATTTTAATTGAACAATAAAATATCATTCTCAAATGATAAAATATCATTCTTGAATAATAAAACCATCATTCTTGAATAATAAAATTATCATTTTTGAATAATAAAATCATAGTTCTTGAATGATAAAATTATCGTTCTTAAATGATAAAATCATTATTCTTGAATGATAAAACTATTATTCTTGAATGATAAAATCATCATTCTTGAACAATAAAACCATCATTCTTGAATGATAAAACTATCATTCTTGAACGATAATGAATCATTCTAATTGAATGATAAAATATCATTCTTGAATGATAAAACTATTATTCTTGAACGATAAATCATCATTCTAATTGAATGATAAAATATTATTCTTGAACAATAAAACTATCGTTCTTGAATAATAAAATTATTACTCTCAAACGATAATAAATTGTTCTAATTGAATGATAAAACCATCATTTTTGAATGATAAAATCACGTTCTTGAATGATAAAATCATTGTTCTTAAATGATAATTAAATTATTCTTGAACGATAATGAAATCATTCTAATTAAATGATAAAACATTATTCTTAAATGATAAAACATTGTTCTTGAATGATAAAACCATCATTCTCAGATGATAAAACTATCATTCTCAAACAATAAAACTATCATTCTCAGATGATAATGAATCATTCTAATTGAATGATAAAACTATCATTCTTAGACGATAAAAACATTATTTTCAGATGATAAAACATCATTCTTAAATGATAAACTATCATTCAAGAATGATAATAAATTATTCTAATTGAATGATAAAACATCATTTAAAAATAATGATTGGTTGACCTGAATTTTGTTAGGTCAAGTCAGATAAACAGGTCAATCTAACCTAATTCAGAGCTCTAATTGTTACTAATTCTTAAACAACTTTACTTTTCTCATTAATGATTTCTTTTTCAATATAAAATTTATATCATTATGATATATGTTAGTTAATCCAAAAAAATTTGAAACTTTTATAACTAATTCATGTTTCTCCAACTAAGTTTAAAATGTGAGCTAAATAATGGTTATGCTTTAATTGGAAAATTAATGTAGATAATATTTGAAAGACTTTTATCATATATACTACATTATCAAAAATAAAAAAAATAAGATTATTATGAGAAATATTATAAAATTGTAAGATTCTTATAACTAATTGAGTAATAATAATACTATTAACAGTATCATCCAAAAATTCTGTTTTAACTAATTTAGTTTGGTTACTAAAACTAAACATTATATTGACAGCTGCCTGACTACAAACATCTGTTATTTCATCAATAGTAATAGATATACGCCTATTACAGTGACGATCAAAAGTATTGCATCACCCAAATACAAAATTTAAAATGGAAATATCTTGTAATTTAAAAGGCACAGTGCTACAAAACTTAAATATAGAGTTCGTTATACCTTAATCTTTATCAATCTCTTTCATCTTTTTTTTTAAGAATATTTTTTTTTTTGTTATGAATCTTTCGCCAAAGTAGCGATGCATTTCTTTTGATCGATTTAAGAAATAAATATTAACACTTATTACACGATTTTTTTTGCTTCATAACAACTATGCGACACATATAAAAAAGGTGTCTTATGGCATTTTTCGCCTCTTTGTAATTTTATAAAATATCTATGGTTTACCTTTTTGTTGAAAAAAGAGCTAGAATTTGTGCCTTATTTGATGAAGGTTTTCCCTCCCGCTATATAGCAGACAAGGAAAATGTTTCTCAATCAACTGTTATAAGAATCAAGCAACATAAAGATAAAACTAGTAACAATAAAAACAAATCTAAATCTGGGCATCTGTGACTTTTAACTGGTCGATATAAATGAAAAGTTTTGAGATTAATTACAACAGGTGAATGTAGCAATGCTGTTGCAATTCAAAAAAAATTAAAAATAGAAGAA